TAATCGATTGAGGATAACTCGGTAATTGTAAATCGTTTATTAGTAGCGAATAATTTAAATGTATGCCTTCATGAAAAGGAACATATATATATATATTTTTCAATCCTTTTTGGGAACAATATTTAAGGATCCTTAGGTATAGCTTACCTATTGGCCAATGCTAATAAACCCGCTGATGATTTCGCTATGAAGACCTGACAGTTTAGCGAAATAAATGACACTATTTGGAATTTCCTTACTTTCCTATACCTTCTGTCTTTATATACTCACATTGAAGTGAACCAATGATGATTCCTTATAGCGTACATTGAGAATACCTAATTCATACAAGTGTGTGTAATTTGTTGATCATCCGATAATTCCAACTTTACTAGGAAATCATAATTCATTTGACTGAATTTCTGAATATAATTTCTATTGTAGATATTAAGCATTCTCACATGTGACCAAAGTTCCTAGGTCGGAAACCCGCGAGCGGGTACGTGTCTGAGCACTAATGAAGTGTCTTACAACATGAAGAAACGACTATCGAGTGCTTCCATGTTTTCAATGTTGGTCTAGCATCAATCAAATCATGATCACAACCAAAGATGTATTACCCAATGAATCAATTTAAGTTTTCTGGTAATTACTTATATCATTACACTGGTTTATTTAAGATGTTATTTCAACGTAACATTTCCTGTATATATATGAGTAAATGTGATTGAACTGAACACCTAAATTAATTTGTGAACAAATATTCTAATTAGTTTTTATTGGGTTATTGAATCAAGGTAACATTCATCAGCACAACTATGAGTCGTGGGATGTGCGCTACTGATGTTGACAGATACAAGTAGTAAGTATCTTCGGACATAAGAGAAAAGCCTTGTGGTAGAAGGTTGAGAAGATCGAAAGTAAGAGAACAAGAACAAAGAATGATTTGTGTGGAAATGAAATAACAATGAAATATGAGACGATTGATTGACACTTGCAGAAGGAATAGTCAGTTTGGAGAAAATCGACTACCATTTTGTAAATGAAGTATTCACTGTATGATTTTAAGATTATATCAATATGTTCTGTATTGTTATAATCAAATACATGCGATTGTCTTAATGAGTAGGAAAATCCTTCTTCTGACGATTGGTGACCTAATGTAAGCTACTTTTTCACAATTAACAAATAAACGAATCAACATACTGAAAAGAGGTAGCTTACGTTACGTTACGGAACGTCAGAAATAAAGTTCATCTACTTAGTGGGATACAACAGCAAATTTATTTGACACTAACATGTTAAAACTTGGAGTTCGATATCTGTAATCAACTTTATTTTCATGGAAATATTTTTGAATATGGACTAACTAATAATATTACATTAGATAGTATTGTTAAGAACGAGAACGTCATGGGTGACAATGAATAGTGTTTTTATAGAACAACTTAGTAAAATCTGAGAGGCATGTAGTAAATACTTCATTAGCAAAATGTCAATAAATTGTCTCAAACTTCATTATTCTTTCGTTTCCACATCGAGCATTTTTGTTCTAGTCCTCTTCTCTTCTCGAATGTCTTGTAACTTTCTGTATCCTGACATTTCACTTTTGATGATACATACTACACATATCTGTCGACTTCAGTAGCATACAACACACTCATCCCCATTTATTAGAGCATTTTGTTGTATCCCTCTTGCGTTCTCGTCTAATATAGTATATAAATTGATCAATCACATTTATGATTGAACATTCATATGATAATTTTCTGTTTATTCTAGGGAACGACATTGGAAATAATGTTTGCTACGGTTGAAAATCCTGGATGGAAGATCATTGAATGAATCAATGTAATGAATGTTATGCAACTAGATGATACTATATTGGTTGTATCAGTATACACCAAAACAGTAGATTATGAAATCATTAGCAATGATAGGTGCTTATACTTGTTGCAATACAAATATCAGTAACATTTTTTCTTATAATGCTCATGGTAATACCGTATATTACACAACCAATAACGATAATAATAATAATGTTTGTCTATATTGTAGTGGTAAGAAAAATCAAAATAGCGGTCAATTCATATCGTCCATTATTGCTGGTGTATTCTTGTATGTTATGTCAGGATTGTCATGCGAATGATTCATTTAACGATTATTAATTTTCTTAAATATAAGATGTTGATTGAATATTTCGATTAAATAGCAGGGTTACCTACTTACTTATTAACTCCCGTTTCTCCTAATGGAGCATAGGCTGCCGACCAGCATTTTCTAGTCAGCTCGGTTCTGTGCCTTTTTTTCTAGTTCTTGTTCATTCTTCTCATGTCTGTCTACACTTTTCTGCACAGAGTGTCCATTGATTTTCCTATTTCGCTTTGCTCCTGAGGATTGCAACTGTAGACTGGACTTCTTATTCAGCTGGGTGCTTTCCTCAATGTCTGTCCCATCGACGTCCGGCAATTCGTCCTGGTTTCTTCCTTTACTGGAATCCGGACTGATCTCTCCTTCAATAGGTTGTTGCTGATAGGGTTTGACGAACGTATCCGTACTATTTAACGTATACGTATACGTATACGTAATACATATCCCAGTCATCTTAACTGATGAAGTTTACCTACTTCATCAATTGATTCGCCATCTATACCATGTTCCGGTTTTTAAACTACTGCAATAATTACTAGGTGGTGACAGTATATATATATATATATATATATATATATATATATATATACGTACTTTGCATAACACCACGTGAATAACGCAATAGTGCGTGAATCGAATGATACACGAATAAAGTTCCATAAAGAAAATCATCTCTTGTATCCATGTACATTCAACTGACGTGTCCGAAACGCGCATAAAACTAGGTTCCATTCCTAGCCAACATCCAGCTTTACTTACAATGCTTGTGCATTAATGCGATATTGATTCAGTCCTCACAGTATGCACACATCCCGATAAAAAACTGATCACCTGTAGCCCTAAACATCAATGGGAAGATACAAGGAAACACCAATCCTAAGTGAATTCAATCCTAACCGTGGATTCGTTACAATTCACCAAAGGTGATTAATATTTATGCAAAATGATTAAGATTTATTTGAAGAATAATGTCAATTATGAATTGGATAGTTTAAAGTTAACTGTAGACCGGCTAGGAAGTGCATTGTTGTCCCACTCAGTAAGTAAAAAAATCAAAATTCTGATGACTCATCGCTTTATATAAGCCACTTCTTTAGAGTAAGTAAATGACTTAAATTGATTTGGCCCGAGTTTATATATTACAATCAAAATAATGCAGAATGAAAATCATATTAGATTTGAACATGTGATTGTCTAACGGTACTGGCAAAAAAGCCACTATATAATGAGACGAAAATAGAATCCTAATAATCGGAGATACCGGTGATTTCATAGTAGTGAGATTACAATTTATGAACGGCTGTTAATTGACCTCGTGTACTATAAGCCAGTCAGAAAACCATTGGTATAGAGCGAACACATAATATACAAAACTAAAGAATTAAAGTGAAGAAGTTCAGTGGTTCCGAAAGTTGTAATAAATACGGTAATAAAGGTCATTCATATGGCTGCTTTATAGTAAGCCTATTGAGCCATATAGCTTTGATTTCACTTGTGTCCACTCCAGTTGTCAGGTTCACGAAATTTCACTTATGTGTAACGACATGATAATCATATCTGAGTCTATGTAAGCATCATTATGCAGTCAAAGATAAGATCTTGTCCACCCTCATGAAAAATTGTGTCTAGATTGTTACACGCTCTGTACTGAAGAGTCCTCTTTTTAAATGTCAACTCATGTCGAGGAACACGTAAGTTACACAAAAGATGTGGTAATAATCTTGTGGAATGGGAAGATCTACAAATTAAATCAACAATAGCTGTACATGCTGTTATCATCTCCAGCATGTTGTGATTTTATTTCTACGATTTCTCTACTATTAAACATGTTATTGCTTAGTTACTTACCTACCGAGAAAAGACGTATGGTTATTTTCGTTGCTGTTCGACTGATCTACTCGGTCTCCGAAGTTGTCCAGGCGCTCTATTTACCTACAAAAATTGCTGCTCCGGTTATTGAATGCAACATTGGCTTCGTGAAGTCTTATGGATCTCGGCTTAAGAGATTGGAAGACAAAATTTAAATTGTTTAACTTGTTTATTGTGTAAAGCGTTTCTTCAACAAGCTTGTTTTCTACGATCTAGGGTTGCCGATTCCACACTCGGACTAAAAACGAGCATGAGCCTTCGAATAGCCACAGCAAAATTAATCATTTTACGCTCAACAAATGTTTCTGTTTTATTTTGTAGTTTCATTGCATTTGTGATAGCGCTATTGATTGCTCTCGTGAAGAAAAGAAATGAGAGATATCGTCTGAATGTCGCGCTTGTAATTATTTGTGTAAAAATTACTGACAATCTTTTCACATTTAATTTGCTAGTCTGTTAAAATCATCCAACATAATAAACGATACGTAAATAAGAATAAGTGTGCTGCTTGTTGATAATAATCCCATATGACCATTTGTTATGACAATGAATATGCTTGTGGAAGCGACTGACTGATATACAAGTTGATTAAAAACTTCGGCTCTTCCTCTAGAAATTCATTCACATGTCCACACATATACAGCTAATCCCACAGAAGTCTCACTCAGTGCCTTCTAGAGCTGCGGGTGTTGTCTACAAAATTGAGAGGATAAAGGTAAATGCCCAGTGCTTTAACTGAGGTGACGGGTATGGAGGACACACACTGGTGAGATCAAAATCCCAGATTTCAAACCGATGCTGCGCATGGGCTTTATGATCCAAAAGTAACAAATGGATTATGAACCAGTCATTGGTCACCGGCTACCATGGGAATAGACATTTTTGAGAAACGAATTCATACCTTCATAAAATATTATTATCAGGATTCATGTACAATACAAGCACATAAGAATGAATATGTATTTTAGTAAAACTGAAATATCCTTTTTCAATTTTTTCAGTCTGTTTGCATGGTATCAGCATTAGGAGTTTGGAACACACAGTTAGATGCTCTTGAAAGATTGATTGTCTTTGTAATCAGTTTGGTATTATTCACATGTGCATTATTGATCGGTGCGGCGATTAAAACAAATTTGTTTGATCACTTAATGAGTATTCTGATATCTTTTTCCGTTATATCTCTTGTCATCGTGATAGTCGCGGTTGTGCTCATTGCTTTGAAACAGTGCAAGGTAGTTTAGTGATCCAAATCACTTGATTCATAAATGACGTAATTCTGATTGAATATATATTTTTCTTTCATCGTATTGGATGATAGTTTTAAACCATAAACTGTACACTGTAATCTACTAAGCAAGTAACCAACGTCTCAAAACATTTGGATTCTGAGTAAAATCGACCAAAAGCCTAAAGACTTCCATTTGCTGAACTCGTAATTTTAGAAGATATGCAGAGTATTCGGATGGTATGATTGATATAATGTAGCGATTGAAATAAGAGACCTGGCAACTGGATTTGGCAGATCACTTATTCAGTATTGTGATATCCCTTCTAATTATATCTGTGTCATTGTGATAGTTGCGGTTGTGCTCATTGCTTTGAAACGATGCAAAGTGGTATATTGAGCTTATTTATTTAATTCCTTAATGACGCGGTACTGATTGAATCTAGTTTTCTTTCATAACATTTAGAAGTGTTTACCATCATATTCGATTTTACTTTCAAACCCTTAACCGTTCAATGTAATGAAGTTAGTAATTAACCAACATTTGTAAACATCCGCATTCCGAGTAAAATCGATCAAACGTCCAAAGTGTTTTGTTAGCTAGGGTTGTAAATTTGGATGATATACAGGGCTTTTGTCTGGTGTGATTGATATCATGCAGTGCTTTTGTCTTATGATTGAAATAGTAGACCTGCCAACTGGTTGCGATGTCGACCTGATTATCAGAATGAGCAATTTATGTTGACAAAACAAAGTAGCAACATACGATGATATCTTAATAAAGTTTAGAGTCGTTTTGTAAGATAATAAAGATCAAATCCATAAATCATTCTGTCTAATGGAAGGTAAGCTTTGATTTATCAAAGTTGGATATCCTACTACAAGACCTGCATTTTTCAAGCAATGTCAATTAGTCATATTTAAAAGAATTTAGTATCTTCACACTCGTATCACAATTGGATATTAAAGAATGTTCTATGATCATCTCTTTGGTATAACCGTGAACATAAAAATTCCACCTCAACACATAGTTCAGTTCAGATACTAAAATGAATAAATATTCATTTGAAGAAATGTATCAGAATCAAAGCTTATCACCACAGCTTTCCTTTAACTAGTATATGTTACATTTTTATGCGAAATACACAAGCTAGATGCAATATACTTTTCATGGCACACATTGGCATAGATGCTGTGAACGTTGCTGTCATCTTAATAAAAACACAACATCCATCCTATTCATCAGTTTCCCATTTAAATTTCTTTCAATCCAAAACATAAAGCAGACCAATTGATCAAGCTGATATAGAACGAACACTGTCATCAGTACATGCAGATATGTCCCGCTCTCCGCAAGGTAAATTAAAGAGTGTTGAATCGCAATTACCCAATCAGATCTGAGATAAAGACGATTGATATTGACTTATCTTCCAGAAGTACACGATGGCAAAATTCTACAAAGTCATGTTTGAGTATTGTTTAATGTAAATATAATGTTGAATTGTCGAAATGAATTCACTGAATCATCTTCTTGTTTTCAGTATCAAACGTAGGTGCACAAATATAATTGTTCATTGTGAGTTGAATTGATGTATATTTTTATTGATAGGATATCGCTTTGAAGTATAAATAAACTATTTGTCAAATAAATTCTGTAGTGCCTGATGGCAATCTCTACTCATAATGGCTTACATATGATATGATGCTATGTAGAGAGACATCGATATCCTGAATGATATGCCATTCTGATGAGAAACTGTGATGACCAATGAAGTTCATTCTATGTGAGGTGGTGACAATGGATGAACTTTTGCGTAACCATTCATTGATCGATAGAAGTTAGATATATACAGCGTAACATATAGAATCAGTGAAATAGAAATCAAGCGTTCGCGCGGGAGACCTAGGGTTCTGTGTTTGAATGGCGCATGTCAATGGAAACTTATATAAAAGGGACCGATTGTTTTATAATTCGACGTGGTTCAACAGTTGTATATACCTACATCCCACAGTTGTGTTCACTCTGATATTCGAACCAGGTAATGTTCAATTAAAACATAGGTACTCGTTTGTGCAATGGAATGAAGTTTAAATTCACTTAATATTGCACAAGAAAATGGCTTATACGACTCATTTTGTGAATGGATGACGCAAAGGCGTATAAGGCAAATGTTACTGTGTTTAAGGTCCAGATATTCAAATAAATCCAGTTGACGAGTCTCAAATAGGATGAAATTCAAGTCCCGGATTTCACTACCAACCACTAGTAATTTTTGCTTATAATACTTGTGAATTAAAACAATATAGTGGCATACCTGAAATAATGCACATATGTAACTAAAGAGAGAGACTGTTCAGTCAAAGTTGCAAACACCAATGGCAATATTAAAGTAAACAATAATAAATAAATTTTATACATAATTTCAGCTGAAAAACTGTACTTATGTCATTTTTTGGTAATATTTCCTTCATACACGGGAAGTATCGTCGCTTATTCTCATTTACCATGGAATTATGCATATGCAATCCAAGCTGATGAACGTTTGACGCTGTTAGATTTACGAGTAAATTTAAACTAGATCGCCATTGAAAACACGGAAGCCTTAAATAGCCGTTTCATCTTGGTACGAGACTCTTCAAAAGTAATCAATCACAATCCCGAACACAGCAATCGATCTTAGGACCATCGATCTCATATTCGAACGCCTCACCTTTAAACAGTAGTTTCAAATCGATCACAGATGCGTACCAATAAAGAGTTCTATACTACGACGAAAAAACCGTCCACTAATTCAAGGATTTCAATGATCCATCTAAATCAAACCCGTCGATTCAACTATTCACTTTCATACAATCGTTATAATAATAATAATTTATATTCTGAAAAAATGACAATTACAGAAATCACGCCAGTTCACAGGCATGATCAATTTGATATAAATAATATCATAATATGTACAGAACAAACATGTGATATGAGTTTTAAGTTTACTAGTTCAGTAATTGTTTAAGTATTACAGCGATCCAATGCTTTATTTATTTTACAGATCACAATATTTATAAGTTATTTACCTGTTGGCAAATCGAGATATCTTCTCTTATATCCAAATTATTCATTGGCAGCCATACTATTATATACTGTATTCTTTTCAACTTTATCAATCAATATGAATATCATCAATGTGAACAAGACTGAAAGTTGTATATTTCACTTCCAAATGACAAAGCATTGAAGTTGAACTCTGTATCGATGAGAACCTTGTTGTTGTTGATTTTACGTGGAATCAGTTGAAAACTTGTGTGTGTGTGCAAACTGCTTACATTTGTTTATTTCTGTATTAAGGGATTACAATGTAACGTATATAAAGTAATTTCAATGACCGTTATCTAACTTCACTTTTGATTGGTTTACCTGGATGAGGATTACAGGAAAAGATTCAGTGTCATTAGAATAGTTGTAAAACATTAGATGACTTCCTGGCGTAGTGATGAGAAGCCATGACCAGTGGATTCGAAGCCATGTGTTCACCTCAGACAATGAATGATGTGTTAAGCGAAATCTCGAATAAGTATTATATGAAACGATTCATTGTCATTAGAATATTTATTATATACGTGATTTAACATCTTCATTTATGTTTGCATCCTTGAATGTAAAATTGTAATCCCATCTATAACGTTATCAAAAAGTGTACTAACGTGTTGAATTACAGCTCTGTGTGTACTAATATTGAAGTATATATTAAATTATGTCATCTGATAGATATGGAAACATCGTAGCAAATCTACTACACAGATCACTGTGAAATGAATTCATCTAATCGATAATTTGTAATGAGGACGGAAATAAGTAAATATATTATTCGGCCGACAGAGCGATATAGCACATAAGCGGTCAAGTGCGAGACCGATAGGTCCTGAGTTCGATTCTCAACTGATGGGATCCTGGATTCTGAAAACTATGACCAAACAGCTTTCGGGTATTTCACACTGGTCTAGCGTCAATTGCCTCATGAATTCATTATTGATCGAAATGAAATGAATGAAATACTTGAAATAATATAAAACATAAAGACAGATCATGAAAAAAGTTATTACATTATCTTCTACGATGGGTTGTGTACGTTCATCGTATATTAATAGAATTGTTAATTATAATAATGTACCTATGAAAGTAAGCTTTCTTTTCCGCCCTTGGATGCCGGCTTAGCGGCCCAGAGATTAAGCGTTCAGGCTCGAGACCGACTAGTCCTGCATTCAAATCACACTTGATGGGATAGTGGCTGGATCCTCCTGAGAAATATTACAATAAAACGAAACCGCCGTTTAATGCATCCAGGTGTTCTATACTGGTCTAGCTTCAATTGGCTCATGAATTAAACTGTTAAATAAATATGAGTTGATCATTATTGACCGAAAACATCTAACAAACATTCAAACAAACTCCGATACTTACATCTTTATGCGAATCTAATATAACGTATATCTCATTCAGAATCAAGCGATCACCTCCTCTAGGATTTTTCAAATAAATCAATCTAGTTAGTTACCAGCACTTATCGTCAAACCTCATGATTGAATAATTCCCACAAATTAGTAAGCCACTATACGCTCTGATGTAATACCTAAAACACTAGAACAATGATCGCTTACAAAAAACGTTTCTCTGAAAATATGAAAACATTATTTTATCTGAAATAAAATGTGTCATCAATGTTCCGAGAATAATCCAGTGCATCATGCTTCACTGTTATAGGCAACGTTCCATCATGATGTTCAAAGAGACGAGATGTTTTAATACGAGCGTTACACATAGATCGATATAACCAAAGGAGTAGATGTTAAACAGCTTTTCAGTACCATCTGTCCAAGGATTTCCCATCACTTTATGACTAACTAAAAGCGTTCATTCATTTCTATTGGTGTATTATCATGTGGAATTATAGAAGTATGTGAAGAATACAAGTAATCAAATTTATTAACCATCTAGTAGTGCTAAAAAATGTC